GGCCGGCCAGAGGTTGTTTGGCACCCGATAGGAGTTTAGCCGGGGTTTCTAATTTCTGCCGCCCCGTACTGAACTCCCATCGGGTGCCAGACAACCTCTGGCCGGCCGGAACCCTCCGAACCCGACCCGTTGAGTATGGTAACCAGGCCACCCTGGACCAAACCTATCGTCTACTGAGACGGAAGGAGGCTGATCATTGTTCTGTGATTCAAGCAAATCCATTGTCATCACTACATTATATTGATCACCTATATGCAGTCTAACTGCGCCTCTAAGTAATCCTGTAACCAAAGGCATGTACATTACATGACTGTATGTATCCGGTGTCTCCACGTGCACCATTACCATTTCTTCTGAAGTGCATATATGCTGTCAAATCATTTCCAGACCAGAGTGTGGGCCCGCCCGGACTACATATCTGCGGGGATGGGGGACTACGCCCTGGACGTCGCTGACAGGATCCTTGCTTACTATGAGGAGTACTTTGACGTCCCTTTTCCTCTTCCAAAGATCGGTAGGGGCCAACTCTACTGCTACATGTATTACCTTCAACCTTACGTTTTGTTAGAAATGTCTAAATCAAAATATTTCAGAGTGGGTGCAGGGGATTTAATTCAAGAAAATAGCTTTCCATTGCGTTCTCCGTCCTTTTAAAGCTTTGTATGCATGTATATTTCACTAGTGTCACAAATTGTATTACCGAAATTGTTATTACCCTCCATGTAAATGGGGGGTATTGTTTTTACTCCGTTTCATGTTTGGTCTGATATCTGAAGATCGGTGAGAAGGAACTGTATGATATTTGGCAGATTGATGGATGGGGCCTTGGAGATTGTGTAGGTTGACTTTGAGCACCTGGTGATTGACCTTGGTACTGCAGTTTAATTTTTTTATTCTATTGTTGGCACGTTATGGTCCGTGTGTGCGATGCTAAGGTAGCATGTAGTTGTGGTTACAATGGTTTACTGATGTAAATTTGGGCCCCCTAGCTGTTTGCTTTGAACCGGAATTGCTATCTCAATGTCAGATTGTTTGCGTTGAATGATCTCAGAACCTGGTGGATGGTTGGCGATCATTTTTGGTATGTGGGTAGACGCTGGTTGTCTTTGTGTTTTAGCGTGCATTAGCAGGTTGTCGTAGATTTGCATTGCTTATTTAAAAGGATTTTCACATTTTCACCCCTATTTCATAATAGGATGGTCTGTTTGACCCCAAATTGGTACAGAGTGTTTTTGTTTATACCTCCAGCTGGCAGGTCAGGCCAATCTATTTTTACCTCTAGACGTCTCTGCAGGAAATATATCTTATCTTTAATCGGTCATTCAGCAGGGAACTGGGTTATCTGTGGTTTGTTAATATGTTGTGCTTGAGAGGTCATTGACCTCAAACAAACCATGGTAACAAGACACTTAACGCCTGCACATGACAGCTTGGGCAACCCCTTCCAATACGAAGTGCCACAACAAAATTCTTAAAGGATAGACATCTATAGACATCTATCATTCTGCTGATAAAAACAAAGTTTGACTCATAATATCTCTATTAAAATACACCAAAAGATTACAAAATAACAAGCTATTTCATGGAGGGACGATGTCTACGACTTCTCCTTGTTTACATTTGTAGATACACTGCCGTACAAATGAATAGAACTTACGACGATCACTTCAGTGAAATACCATAAAACGTTATTAGAGCCCCATGTGAGATTCTTATATCACGTACAGATCACATCTTTATCCCGGACGTTATCTTCGGAGCCATGGAGAACTGGGGCCTGGTCACATATGCCGAGCATCTGTTTCTGTATGACCCAAGTAGGCCGTCTGCATCAGGGAAGAGAGAAACTGCACGGATAGTAGCGCATGAGCTGGCTCACATGGTGACTTTATACCACAGGTTTTTCAAGTAACTAGGGTAGCCATAATGCATTGTAGCACAAACGATACTTTGTCAGCCTTTAGATAGATACACAACTATGACTGAGCACTTGTGCATATCAGATACTATTACTGCACCGTGATTACTGTCTGTATATATCTATATCTATCTGTCTATCACTCTCTCTCTCTCTCTTTATATAGCAAAGAAAGTCTACATTGTATTACGAACTTACTTACGAATAAGATATGTTCATAGAGAACTGTTAATAATTGTCGTTGTTTGTTTTGTACTTGATCAATCGCCACGGTTCTCCGACCATCGTCTCCAGTGGTTTGGTAACTTGGTGACCATGGAATGGTGGGACGGCACGTGGTTGAACGAAGGCTTTGCCAGCTATGTGGAGTTCCTTGGGTACGGCTACGTGGCACCGGACATTGACGTGGTATGTATGAAGCTGCTTGCCTTAACGTAGTCGCGCCGATCTACAGTAATAACAGGCACTAGAAACATAGTTTTTCATACAGTGATGTGGTCCCACGAGCAAAAATATGTTTTCTGTTAGGATTCAGTTAGCAATGGATTTCCAACATAACTGACTTCAATGCAAATGTCATGTCAGAAGAACAAAGACATTCAATTCTAAAACATGTACCTCATACTGGTGTTGATCTGTTAAATCAAGTCATATCAAGTCAAATATCTCATTTGACTTGATATGACTTGATTTATCAGATCGACATCAGCATGAGGTATAGGTTTTAGAATTGAATGTCTTTGTTCTTAAAGTCAGTATTGACCAATTTAACAGAAGTGTGTGCATGTCTTCGCTGATCGCAGATGGAGCAGTTTGCCTACTCCAGGACGCAGGGCGCGACGGTCATGGAGGACGACTCTCTGACTTCATCACATCCAATCTTCCAGCCAGTCAACCACCCTGACGAGATTAGTGAGATCTTTGACAGTATCACTTACAGCAAGGTATGTACTAGCCTCGTATATAATAGCAGGCTCTCGCACTGGGCTGTTTGGGAGCCTTTACAACGAGCTTTTTTTTTCTTTCTGGCATATATATGCATTTCACTTCAACTGGTATTTGTTCCCAGTTTCTTTTGGCAGGCCCAGGCTAAGCGTATTACAAAGACTCCCAAAAAAAGCCCAGTTGTAGAGCCTGCTAATGCTGAGGTCACATTTCCAAACTGGGGCCCGGCCGGACAGTCTAACAGAACGAAAATTTTCATATAAAAGAAAACAAAGCACAAAAAAAGGTGAAAAAAAATAGTGATGGGAACTGTTTGCGTATATTATTGATATAAATTGTTGATTTTTCGTTAATCAAAACAGCCCGGGCGGACCCCGGTTTAGAAATGTGACCTCACCATAAGCAAGCAAGGAGGCCTAGGCGAGATATATTTGCGAAAACTGTGTGCACTACAGTGTGGAAGCATCGTGCAGCTGCAATCCGTCCTTCTATATACTGTGTCCTGTTGCTTATGACCATTCTCAGCTCCTAGACCATTCAATGTATTGGCTGTTGTTGGCGTCTAGACATGTGAATCTGTGTCAGAAATGTTGAGATAATGTGTTTGGATGTCCGCATTCTTTCACAAGTGGCGTTGAGGCCGGAGAATGCACGAGCGGACTCATAATTATTGAATACCATATATCATACTTGAACATTGCATAAGACGACGACAGGGTAAAACAAAGTAAGTCAGATGTATGTAGTAACTAATCATGCAGATTATATTGATCTATTTACTGTAGAACTCTGTTTGCGTCTACAGGGAGCGGCTATCCTGAGAATGCTAAGCAACTTTCTTGGGGAAAGCACCTTCAGAAAGGGCCTAAAGGTAATGTCCGCAGACCAAACAAGATATCAGTTATGTCTTTGGATTTTGAAGAAAAAAAGAAGTTAGCCGACAATTGCGACGACAATTGCAACTTTAGACTGCCATAACCCCTTATAGAAGTATGATCGAAATACAATAAGTTACCTACCCTACAGACTACGTTGTGAAATTAAAATTAAAATCTATTTCATTGTATATCCTACGTTATATAGAAAAACGTACTTTCTTTTTTACTGCAGGCCTACTTGGAAAGGAATGCCTACAGCAACGCGGTTCAGGACGAGCTGTGGGAAGAGTTAACTCTGGTACATATTTACTGTTATTCATTGCATGAATGGACTGCTTAGCTTGTGCCTGTCACCGACGTGGTAGTGTAGTTAGTGCAGTGGTCAGTATATTGTGACCCAAATACCACTAGGTGAACATCGAGAATGTTTAAATTCTTCATAGATAAAAGTGATATAGAAGTGGTTGTGGTATTGCCGACGATGTTGTAGTTTTATGGCATATAGATCAACAGCATCTTGTTTTCGGTCAATAAAACTGCCACTACCTTTCTGCTAAGATTTTGCGGTCTTAGAGATCTTCTCGTAGATATTCTACACTTTGTGACAATGTGTTGTAATGTAAACTTAAGGCTTAACAATCCTAATCATAACCACCCAGGCCGCCAGAGCGGACGGACAGACTGACCTGGACGTGAAGACTGTGATGGACACCTGGACACTACAGATGGGATATCCTGTGGTCAGCCTGACCAGAGACTACGGCCGTGGCACGACTCAGGCCACTCAGCAATACTTTCTACTGGACCCGACGGCCACTGCCAGTGCACCGTCTGACTTTGGGTAAGGCGTAGTTTTACATTCTGTGTCTGTGCCTTGCAAAACCGAAACACAATGATTGTTCTTATCAGGGGAAGTACGCATACCGCTAGTACTTCTTTGTAGATCCTACGGTTACTGTCAGTGTACCATCTTACTTCAACTAACGTATCGATTTACGTATATTCTCTGTCAATCCATTGTAATTGATATCTTGTATCCCGAAGAGGTTTATGGCAATTTAAGCAACAAAAACATTTAATAGACGCACTAAAGCTCTACAAAGCATACATTAGTATCTTCTTAAGATCCAGAGGACTTTTGATGAGATGAAAACCGTACCAAATTCTCTACGCACGAAGCCCCAAGTCGCAAAGAAAAATGTAGATTTAGGATGATATTACTGAGAGTACTTTTGTTTCAACACCTTGCAGCTATAGATGGCACATACCACTCACGTTCACCACCAGAGGGAATTCATTTGATCAGCCGGAGCAGGTCTGGATGCGGCCGGATCAAGGTAAAGATACGGAATATAGTATAGCGTAGCTTAGAACATACGTTTAGAAATGTTCTTATTAGCTCTTATTAGTTAGTTTTATTCAACATTTGGCAGACATAATACCCGTTGTAATCATATGTAGAATCTTCATGGACTGATACCAACTAGTAATCTTATTATTATCTGCCATACATTGTACCTGTTACAATCGTTGTGCAATAAACTTTGACTTATGCTTTGTGTATATTGATTAAAAGATTACATTTTGTGAATAATCGTTTTGAAAGGTAAGCTGGAGCATACATCGTGTATCTAATACATTAAGGATTTTGTCCGTGGGAACCTCACGTCACTTGTCTACAGGTACCAGTTCAGTCAGCTTGCAAGGTGCCGGCAGCGATGACTGGGTACTGGCCAACATCCACCGTGTCGGATACTACAGAGTCAACTACGACCAGACCAACTGGCAACTGCTTATCGACCATCTCAACAGCGACCTCTATGAAGTGTGTTGACTTTTGCAATCATGTAGCTATTCCGCAATTATTAACGACCTCTAATTTTAATCATCAATCGAATATAACACCGATCATCTTTTAAGTCCTTTTCAGACACACTCTAGTGCAGTGCCTGAAAAGAGCATGATACCAACATGTAGATCTCCTTATAATTCATTCGTTGACGTAAAGTTGCAGAAGTGTATCGATTTATCTTTTGTAGCTGTAATCATCAAGATTTCTTACACTTTTCACAGGACATTCCACCAGACAACAGAGGAACACTAATTGACGATGCGTACAATCTTGGGCGGTAAGATAGCAAATTGGGTGACGTTGTCTCTTGTCACATCTGCACAAAAGACCATTGTTTGACTCTAAAAGTATGTTGAGAAATTGCAAAATACCAAAAATTATTTAAAAATTTATTTCCACAAAAGTATGTAATATAAAGATTAGTTTGTCATATGAGTTGCTTTTATACCTGCGTAGTGCTGGACAACTGGACCTGTCCACGGCCCTGGACCTGACGAGGTACTTGGTGCGAGAGCGACACTCCGTTCCGTGGAGCATGGCCAAGGCAGCCATGGACTATGTGGTAACTGTCTTTGGCTCCGTCAGAGACATATACGACAACTGGCAGGTACGTTTCGTAAAATGCTTGGTTCCATTTTGCTTCCAATTTACTGTAGACAGAAATGTACAATTGTGAATGTTCTCATGGCCTCCACATCTTTTCTGACGACGATGAAGATGATGTTGAAATGGAAACAGCTAAACATATAGAAAGCTGTTTTCTAGTAGCTAATTGTTTCCTTCCATCATGACTCCTCACTCTCTCACCAACATTGTAAGAAATAGGTTTCTAGTAGAATGTCCTTTTGTACGTTTTTAGGCCCACATGGTACAACTGATTAGTCCATTCTACAACGAGGTTGGATGGACCCCTCAACAGAGCGATTATAACACCGAGTAAGACACCACTTTTGTTGAACTCATTCCTACATCTATTTTACCAAACATAGATGAATTCACGGGACTATTTTGTATACATGTTCTGATGATATAATGCCTGAACTTAACACCTCCAGAAGAATTTGCTTAAATAATCATAGATGTGTATTCTTGAATTTGATTTGTAGGGCTGGGCAAGTCCTGGCTATATCAACCGCATGTACTTACGGGCAGACGGGCTGTGTAAACAACGCTACAGCGCTGTTCCGGCAGTGGATGAACACAAACAACAACAGGTAACAAACAAACAAAGCCTTTCGTAATGGTAGAAACCAGCTGTGTATGTGTGTGTAAAGATGCATGTGGTGATCAGTGTTCTTAGCATTGTAGGAGAATGAGCCGTACGTATACGTATGATGGGGGCATACATAGTTTGCATGATGCTTCCTGCCTTGTATTAGAATTCAAAACAATGCACAATGCAGGCACTAGGCGTGGCGAGTGGCATTGACCATTACACTATCAGCTAGCTAATAGACTATCTCAGAAGAAGAAGCATATTCTAGATATTAGACTTGTCGTAAGAGTACAAAAACTGGTAAAATGGGTTGACTTTCCTACATGCCTCCTTCACAGCCATATTCTGGAGACCTTCAAGTCCACGGTGTACTGCACTGCCATAGGGTATGGGGGCAGTCGGGAGTGGGACTTCGCCTGGCAGCGGTACCTGGAAGCCGAGCCGTCGGAGCAGAGCCTTCTCCTGTCCGCCATGGCCTGTAGCCGTGATACGGTCATCCTCAGCAGGTTCGGCAAACAGATTACTATATATGAGAGTCTATGTACTAGTATGTCGGTGAACGTTTAGACATACAGGTAACGTTTCCAAAACCATATACAGTTTCTTGACTAACTGCCTTTTTGGCATACGCACTAGTATGTTCATTTAGCAGTACAAGTCTACCATGTGATCCAGGGGATATTATACAGAGATCGCAACATCCATTCTCTTTTCTTTTTTTTTAAGGCTACACAACCACATGACAAAATAAATGCCACCGTCCTTGACATTCAATGACAAGACTGGCGTTTAAGATGCTTCGAAAAATGTTGATTGTGCTCAATTTCTGACCCAATCGTTGGACGAAACCATTGGAAAGACAACCTTTTTGAAGTATTCTAAACGTAACCATTTTGCACATCACAAAAATGACGCGATTAATTTTTTTTACGTGCAGATATCTTGAGAGAAGCAAAGATGCCGCTCTCGTCCGCAGGCAGTCAGCTCCTGACGTCATCAGCTACGTAGGACGGAGTGACGTAGGCAAGTCTCTGGCCTGGAACTTCCTGGTCGACAACTGGGACTTCTACGTGGAGAAGTAAGAAAGGCCGTAAACGGTTTTCAGTGTGAATGTTATTCATCACCAGGGATAGTGTAGTCATTGTAAAATGCACCAGGGACAATATCGCCAGTGTGAATGTTATTCATCACCAGGGACAGTGTTGTCAGTATGAATGTCATTCAGTACCAGGTACAGTGTTGTCAGTGTGAATGTCTTTCAGCACCAGGGACAGTGTAGTCATTGTGATTGTCATTCAGCACCAGGGACAATATAGTCAGTGTGGATGTCATTCAGCACCAGGGACAGTGTTGTCAGTGTGAAAGTCATTCAGCACCAGGTACAGTGTTGTCAGTGTTAATGTCATTCAGCACCAGGGACAGTG